TTTTGGGCGACACATTGCAACTTGACTCGCTACAGCTGAGTTAGGCACGCTCTCTTGCATTAGAATTAACAAAGTTTGAGCAAATCTCCCTGTTATCCCTTATAATTGCAATGATTGCGCCGCAGAGTTGGCGCGGAAATGCGAGTGAAATGATCACAACTATTCTGCATGCATGTGGAAACAATTCGCCCTCACATCTCAAGTCTCCGGAATGAATGCATTTTCTGGTGCTGAAACAAATGATTAGTGACCCACTCTCGAGCCCCAAAAGCACACCCCGAATGGAGGGTCAGGCATTTAGGGGGTTGGATTTGTGTGCGCCACCCTCGAAATATGCTACAATTCACTGCAACATTATGGCCAATGAGCGGATGGCTCATGAACTAATTTACAAATGGAAGTCATACAATTTTGGGCGATGATTAAATTGTATGTGTGGCTTGGGCGAAAATTAGCCCCCACACCACCACCCAGAAACATATGTATCACTTAACAAATGCTCCGCCGCGCCAAAATTAATTTCCCACCACTTCCAGCATGAGCCCAGAGAAGCCACTAATTTATAAAATGGATTTTCTTTCGGACGCCATGGCCCAGTTTTGCGGCTGGCCGGAAATATTGGCCGACTTGCTCGCTCGAGAAAAATTCCTTCTGCACTTGCCTTAATTTTGCGAGTGGAAATGAAATTGTCGAGGGTGGGATATTTACGACCGGCCGCTGCACTGCTTGCCAGACTGATGGCCCAAAAGCTCCCCGAAAGCTCGCCACCAGGACAGAAAAATTTTGGGCAATGCAAGGAGTATTTATAGGAGGCTTTTTTGCATCTGCAAACTGAAATGATTTGGAAATGACAGATTTCTAAATACAAAGATTTAATTATGCTCAGAAGTTGTTGTTAGTTGGAAGTTAGTTGTTAAATTACTTAAATTGTAAGGCTATGAACTCAAATATGTAACTAAATTTTAGAGAGAGAGGCATGAAGCCGGCGGCAGCCGCACACAGAATAAGGGAGAACAAAATTATTATTATTATTAATTAAAGTGTTTAATTGTATGCAATATTTCTGTTTAGGTTTATAAAGCTGTCTCTAAACCAATTGGTACATTTTGTATTGAGAACTTGAATTTCTTTTCTCATTATTTGGCAGAATTTTCCATTTTGAGCTTGAAAGAGATGTTATTTTTTAAGGCTATGATTGGACAAATTTCCAGAAAAGCAATGAAAAGTATAGATTTTCGCAAAAATCGATTGAGAAATTTTAAAAACTGTTGAAATATTTAGGAATTCATTAGAAATATCACAATTTTCTCTGTGATTTTATTTAAGATTCTCGTAAGACAGTGAAGAATGTTTTTGAATTCTGAAGGAGTTTCAAGAAATGTTGGATTTTAGCCATATATTATCTCCCCCTTGAATTTAATGACACAGTTTTAATATAAATATTGATCTTGGGTAAATTCTTGCTGGTATTTTTAAGAAGCACAAACAGAGATAATTTGAGGAGAAGCATGAGTTTTCCTCTTATTACAAAGCTAACATGATTCTTATCCTTGTAGGACCGAAAATTCTAGCATTCTTGTTTCAAATTCTATGTAAGAAGGTTCCGAGAAAACGCCAACTCGACTCTGATTGGCTGACTGAGAGAGAGTGAAAAATCAATGTACTGCATTTACCGTCGAGACAATCGAATTTGTACTTTATTGCAAGTTCCTTCGATATATTTTAGCGTCAATTTAGCCGTGGAGACTTCCTCAAGACACTGGCCAAGACAACGTGAGACAGTCCACAATCCTCCGCAGCTGACATTCGCCACAATGGATGTTTGTCATTATGTGTTTTTAATGGGAAAATGTCAAAACAGCAATTTCAATGGTAATCTCATCACTCATATTCCACATCCGACTGATGCGCCTCTATTGAATGTTTGACCGGAAGGGTGGTGGAGTAAATTAGCTGATGATCCCCATGCTATTCCCTTTGATATTCTGGTCAACGGAAAACCGGTAATTGTTAATGATGTCATCCGGTTCATATTCAGTCCATTGTGAGCAAATACACAGTGTGACGAGAACACCTGGATCGATGGGGAGTGGATTCAATTTTGCGGTTTCATATGCATTTCCCCCATCGCTCCTGGTGATGCTACCAAAATTTTCCGCGTCCACTTGAATTCTTTGCGCCTTCCAGCGACAGGATAAACATTCGGTGCGGCTGATGAAAATCCAATTGGGGATTTGTTTTCATGCCACCCTGAGTCGCGGATTACCTATAAATATTATCACGCACGCGGAGGTGTAAAAAAAAATATCCTGTGCATTTCACGATCACGGCAATTGCTGAAACATCCTTGTGAAGTTTTAAACGCATGGGACGCATTTGATGAAATTGGTCAGAATGGCTTCAATCCGACGAAATCGAACACGAATTGCTAATTACGTTATCTCTCACTTTCTCCCATTTCACCCCCAAAGTTTCCCAGCCCCAAATATCTGCCGCAGCTTGCAGCATTTCCTCTGCATACAGCCATTGTGCGCCGCTTTCCATCCTGCAACAATCATCAAATGATTGGAAACAATTGCCTGCTCTTGTGTGTTGAAATTTAATCTCACACAATGAGATATCCTGCCAGAATTGTTTGAATTCATATCACTTAACCCATTTCACTCACAGCCAATGCCAAGGATACTCTCCTGTCGCGCTCTAATGAGACGAAATTGCACAAGAAAGTCACACCTTTTCTTCCATAGAAAACACCACCATCTCAGTGAGTTTCAGTTGAATGCAGAAAAGCAATTATTCGTAGCCTTTGCAGACTCAATCGCCACGGAACTTCTTATCGCATTGGGTGAAAAGCCACAAATTTTCTCTCTTGCAACCCTCACTCAATTTCCACTTTACCGCCTCGAGTGGATTGTGTTGTCTGTCCGCTTCGGGTGAGTCGCACTTTAGCTGTCAGACAACCGCCAATCCCACCCAAACCACCCCTTCGGGGGTGACTTCAGCTGGCAAAGACAGAAAGCTCTGGGCGCGAATGGCTCTGCTTGGCCCAGATTTTAATGGCTTTTCCACCCAGAGAATTCAGGCTTAAAATTTAAACAGCAATTTTTCTCCCTCAATTATTATTGGACTTGCTTTACTCAAGGAGAAGAAAATGTGCCTTAAATCTGTACACCACTTCCTGCAGGAATGTTTGCAAGAATATTCTCAAAATACAATGGATTTCTTAAGTTTCTACCCGCAATATTTATGTAAAAATCCATTTAAGAACTCTTTCTTAAGAATCTTTTTGAAAATAACCAAAAATTATTACCAAAAGATCCTAAAAAGGTTTCTAGATCACAAAATATCATTACCAATGAACTGAAAATTGGTGATTCAGTGTCAAAATCGTTTAGAAATGTTTCTAAATAACCATTTTCCAAGTACAAATGACTACTTTTGAAGTTATGTTCAACTTTAACACAATTTGCAGTGTATTTTTTGGCATCAAAGGCTCAGAATAACGATGTTTGTTGCTTGAAAATGACTATTGATCTTCCCAACTTCAGTCTAAGGATTAAAATTCATATAATACGAATTATAACCTCAAAATTGATTTTTTTTTTAACTGTTTCTACATAAAACATCAAAGGAATTTCACAGAATTTGGATAAATTATCAGTAAAAGAAGCACTCAATCTGTACACCACTTCCCACCATAATATCTTCCCCTTGGCTTCATTGGATTGAAGAACAAGAGATTCATTTGCACTGAGAATTGTATTTGCAAAAGTGGGAAATTTTGACTGAAAATTCTCCAATGATTGTGAATAAAATTTGCATTTGAATAGCTTGCGAAACAAGAAGACAAAACCTGCCACAGAATTGTGATTTATTGCTAAATGATTGTCTAATGATCGATTTTAAACAAGCACAGCTTTAAGAATCTCATTTTGTATTGATTTTTTCCTCAATTTTCTATAGAAAACACAATTTGAGCATTATTTCTCATTTTGCAAGTTGAAATATTTGAATAATAACTGAAAAGTTTTCCAGTATAATTCACTATAATGTTTATACGGTGGAAATTGAAGAAAATGCGCCAGCGGGAAACTTTCCAGGTGCCCCAAAGATTGCTCCTTGTGAAAATGAGAGTGAAAAGTGCAAACTTGTGGCACTAACTTAATTCTCCCCGATTATTGCACACGCCACTGGCTGAAGACAGAATCCGTGGCGTGAGGATCAAGGTGAGGTGCAGAAAATGAGTTTCATCACCCCTGCACAGGGGTTGGATTATGTGAAAAATCTCCGTGGCAGAGATGAGCTAAAGTTGGCCTTTTTTCTCACCCCCGCGCGCGCGAGAGAGAGAATATTAAGCATCCCTGGCAATTTTTATTCCAACAGCTAATGTGAAGGTGAATAAAATAAATCCACTCTCATCGCAGACTCAACGCCCAAACCCCCAACCCTTGAGGAGTAAATTGGGTGGGAGAAAGAGAGCGAGACGACACGGAGTCGGGGAGAAAGTTTTATGTTAAACATCCCTTGGAAGACTTGCTTCAACCCTCTGAATCACGAGGCGCTGTTTTTTGTCCGCACGCAGAAGAAAAACTATGCAGGCAACAAATTGCAGTGGAGATGAAGGTGGAATCGTGCGGGGAAAAAGTGCTGAAAAGTGTAAATTTCCGAGTATATCTTGGCAGAGGCGCACAGAGTGTGGAAAAAAAGCCAAAGTGAAACACAAATAAGTCGACGTTGGGCAAAAAATCATGCTAAATTTACCCTCGTTTTCCACTCGCACTCGTCCTTTTTTCCCCCAGCCTTGACCACCATTTTTCACTGGAATGCAACCAGTGTGAATTGGAGAGGTTGTTTTTTTCCTGTCTTTCTTCCCTTTGCACTTGATTGTTTTCCAACCCTCACCGTCAATTAATTGGGAGTGTGTCTCTTGTCGAATTGAGGCGCGCGCGCGAGTGAGTTTTTCCCGATACAGAAGAGCAAATCATCAATTTTCAACTCACCTGAAATTCCATCGTACGTCCACCTTTTGGTGCACAGCCACAAGGAAAGCCGTTCAAGAGGAAATTGATTACAATTTGAGCGATTTCTTGCCACGATCACTACTCACCATTCCTCCCAACTCGCCCTGATATCTGCAAAGAGAGAGAGAGAGAGAGAAAAAGACAATGTCAGTGCGGGGAATCAATTAAATCGCATTCTATCGCTTTCCCATCATTTATTCCCGCCACACCATTGTGAAGGCATACAAAAAGCAGCGTGTCATGTTGCCTCGCATGAGTGGGGAAAAGTGAGACGAAATGGAGTGAATAAGTTTGGCGCATTGGCAATAAATTCTATAAATCCCCACCCTTTGCCTCTGCACAACCCCAAAAGCTCAACATTCAGATTCTGCATTACAACTGAAGAAGCTCTTTGGCAAGTTGTCATAAGAGATTGTGAATAAAAAGCCGCCTGCTTTCACCCTTCGCACTCAAAGCATCAATGCTGAATGGTTTGGGGGGTTGAATGAGGGGAGAAAATACATGCGATATGAGGCCATTTATGCGAAATGTTGCTCCAGAGTTGTCAGGGAGGAAGATGGAAGTTGAAGGAAGAAATTCCGCCTAAACTGAAAGTATTTTAATCAAAAAAAAAACCCTCAATTTTCCACTAAGTCGTTGTGATTATGAGTTAGAAAAATTCTACTCAATATTTCTACACAATGCTTAACCTTAATTAAAGATTATATTTAAGAAAAATACTCAAAAATGCAATTTGAAAAGAAAAAAAATGTATAAAATACTGTGAAAAAGTAATTTTTTAAGTTGTCAGTTAGATTTTAGTTAGTTTTCAGTCAGATTTTGGTAATAAAACTTAAATTTGATTTAAAAAAATTTCTTTTTGATACCAAAAAAGGAAATAAAAATCAGAAAATCATCCAAAGAAAACCATTTTCGTCTCCTAACGCGGTTAGACAAGTCCAAAAACAGAGTTATAAAACTGTCAGTTAGATTTCAGTTAGTTTTCAGTCAGATTTTGGTAAAAAAACTCAAATTTGATAAAATCAAAAATGGATATCCAAAAATACAATTAAAATTATCCAAAGAAAACCATTTTCGTCTTCTACCGCTGTTAGACGAGTCTGAAACAGAGTTTTAAACTGTCAGTTAGATTTTAGTTAGATTTCGGTTAGATTTCATCCATTTTAGCCATATTATCTTCCCCAGAAGCTTTGCTCACTTCCAATTTGCTATCTCTGGAAATCTATTCTGCATTCTCAAGCAGCAACTCTGCAGATGTAACAGCAAGAAGAGACATGACATTTTTGACAAATGCTGCACCCCCTTCCCCCAGTAAATATTCGTCCCTTTGTCGGATTCATCTGCAAGAGGCAGAGTCATGGTTGTGGGAAAGTTTTGGCACAGCAAGGAGAGTGCCACCAAGTCGTCGAGGGTGGGTTTTTGGCGTGCAAAGACATATCCAATTGGCGCCACAGAGCCGGGGAAAAGTAGCTGTTTTCGCCATAAAATCTTCGAGTTATTGCACATCCACAAACACCCTTCTTTTCACCGACAAATTACTGGAGGGATGAAAGAATTGAGAGAATTGAAATAGTCTTTGCTGGGAGATGTGAAATTAAAATCGGCTCTCTTGCAAATCCACACATGAATTTCGTGCTCACAAACAGTTGAGGAATGCTTCGGACGCAGTGAAACATTTTGGATAACTTCCAACATTGATGACAGTGCGAAAATCTGCAGGACGCCCCGAATGGCGCCAGGAATCTGGACGCCGCGGTATAAAAAAGAAATAAACATCCTTCACAAAACACTATCTTATAAATTTCTACCATCGCACCATGAACGAAATTTCTCTCTTGCGCATCTCTCGATGAAATTGGGATAATTTGTTATTTTTGCCATGGGGATGTTCGCTTCCCTCTCGCCACTCTTTCCTCCTTTTCGTCTGCATCACCCTATCTCATAAGGAGGCGAAAAGAAATAAAACACTATGTGGTGGAAAGAAGTGATTTCACCGAGAGCAGAGTTGAATGTCTTCTAGATGGCTGAGCACGAGAATTTATTTGTCATTGATTTTATGCTGGGGAAATTGGGTCCATTGATAATGGCTCTTTTTTTTCCACCCCGCATTTTAACGACTTTTTCGTCTCTGTGGCGGAAAAAACATCCTTGGTGAGAGTGTTAATCTAGAGAAAAAATGCAGAAAACTTCACACACAAGTCTGCCATAAATAGAGAGAGAGAGAATAATACGAGGAAGCGTGTGCGAAAAACGAATTTCTCTCAAGGGAAATTTGATTTAGTAAATACATCACTTTCTCCCCCCCTTTTCCAACCCCCCTCGCACTCCGGAGACATTTGTTGACCAGGAAGTCAGTCTGGGCATGGCGAGAAGGAAGAGGAGAGCTTGATGGAAAATTCACCCACTAAATTGGTGGACAAAGGGATGGTGTTTTGTGTGCGATAGAGAAGAAAGCGAAGCAATTCCCTCACAATACTCTCTCTCTCTCTCTCTCCTTGGCCAGAATTATAAATTTCAATGCAAATTCCAGCCCTGGAGGCGCTTCAAGTTGCAGTGCGAAATTGTGGTGAAGTGTGAACAAGTTGAATTCATGATGTGCCGAGAGCCTGAAAAGCTCTCGCTCTCCGCCAGAAAGCTCACACAGTGGAGGAGAGCTGGCAAAAAGTCAGTCGTCTCTGCAGCCAAGGAGCCACTACGGGTGGCTCAAGTACGATGATGGTGTTATTATTCTTCAGCTGTTTCCCACTTTGTTCAAACACAGTTTACCAGTGGGTGGCGTCTGGCACTTCTATTTGAATTACGTGACTCCTTCGGGACTTTCCCCGCACCTTTTGGGCCGCCGCACAATTGCTCCATCGCCCACCCCTCGCTCTCTGTCCTCTTGCGGAGCACTCTTTCGGTCCCACACGGTCCTCTTCTCGATAAGCTAATGTGGGGATGCTCGAGCGTCAAGGGGAAAAATCACGATCAAGGAATTTTGTTTTAAACAACCATCCCCAGATTTGAATCTCAAAAGCGTTTCGCTGGGCAAATTTATTGTCACTGCGATAGTGCGGAGGAGCTTTTAACCCCCCAAACACAATCCCCCTTTTTTCCTCCGCCATCCAAGAGTCCACTCCATGGCGTCATATTTTACAAAGGCATGCAGAAAACAATTAATTGCCTTTCCGGTTTTAATAGACTCTGTGTGCTCTGGGGGAAAAGCAATATTGATTTTCTCGATATTGGGTGATGCACAAGGGGGAGATAATACAGTCAGAAGTGGTGTACAGCTCAGCAGAAGTACTTAAGCAGTACCTTAGCGCTTCTTTTACTGACAAATCATCACGATTTCACAAAGAAACAGTCGTTTTTCTAGGTTATGTAACGAATTACGGACAGATTTAGTGAATATTTCGCATTCTAGCACATCAATTCTTGTCATAAATTCACCAAATATTTCTAATCATTAGCAGAATTAAGCATTTTCATGCGATAAACATTGCTAAACACTGTAAATTGTGTTGAAGTTCAACATAACCTCGAAAAGTGTATTGTGGACTTGGAAAATGATCGTTTAAGCCACTTTCTTCACGATTTTGACTCTAAATCAGAGTAATTTTAAGTTTAAAAGATGATTTTATCATCTAGAGAGCTTCCAATTGTCGTCTTTTATGATCCCTTAGGGATATTTTTGAGGTTATGTTCGGAAAAGATGCTCGAAAAAGCGTTTTAAAGTGGATTTTTACTGAAATATCGCGTGGAACAGTCTAAAAACTTGAAATTGTGTACAAATTAAGAGCATAATTTCCCCCTTGATAAGTTCAAAATTTCAAAATTTCCATTTTGAGATGTTATTCAGTTGTAGACACTTTTGACCATCTTCGCCTGAGTATTATATGTATGCAAATGTGAGAATGAGAGCCTTGTGAAATACACTGCGTGAAATAAAACATTCAGAAATGCTCTTGTCACAATGTATACATAAATAAATGACATGTCAGGCGTTATGACAGTTTATTTTGTATTTTTGATAAATGATTCACAACTCCACGGAGAGAATTTCGTCTTTCGCCGCGCACAATATTCTCAAACTCTAAGTAATTGAAGATGCTTCACATTCGACACTTATCATCTGGGATAAAATCAATTGTCCAGCAATTTTGCAGTGATGATGGGGATGTGTTGGCAAAATTGTTCTTCCGAAACACAAATTTTACCCTCCACACTTTGTCGGAACGTGCTTTGCGGAGCCAAACACTATATTGCCTCAGTTATATAGAGGAAATTCCTTCATCCTCTCACCCTCGTCCACGAGGGGTTGAATTTATCTCTGCTGAATAGGATGGAAGAATGCGCCTTTCGCACCCTTTTGCCCATTGGCTTTAGACGAGAACGGTTTGGGGGATGAAGAAAGAAAAAAAAGTATCAGAAAATTCCCGCATTTTCCACTTTTCTGCTGTTTTTCCCTTCATCGTCGGTGCAATTCTTAAATAGACACACTCGGTGTGTGCGGTTTTTCACTCGACAGGCCGCTTTTTTGCCGCTCGCCACCAGTGAGGACTGCTGGGAGTACTTACGAGGTCGTTTGTCATCGTTATCGCGCCCCCTCACACTCCCCCCTCAGGACTTGTCCCACGAGAGGACGAAAAGCAGAAAAAGCCACCGAGACAGGCGACGCTCCGACGCCCAAGAACAACTTGCATTTGCCTTTCCGCAATCCCAACAAACATCGCCACACAATCCCGTGCTTTCTTCGCACAATTTTCCCACCCCCACAACCCCCTCGCCACACCCCATCGACGTGTTTCGCGACTGTGTTTCGTTTTCAATTGGAATTGTTTAATCATGCGTGAAAAATACATCATTATCGCGACGAGAAGTGGGTTTGGGTGAAGCTTTCGAGGGGTGAATAGAGTTGCTTACCTTTCTGGAATAAATCATTTGCAAAAGCAACTCGAAAAATATAGAATTGGAATTCAAAGTGTTTATCAATTAGTTCACAATCCTTCCATTTAACCCATTTTGCTTCACCCATTTGGGAGGAAAGTAGTTTTTCTTCCATGCATTCAGAATCATCTGCTGAAAATACAGCGAAGAATCGCATTGAAAAGCAAGCTTGACAGTCCCAA